GTTAATCACTTTAACTACAAACAATCATGCTTAAGCTACATAATCTTTACTCCCTGGGATGGAGATAAGAAACGCCCTAACCTTTGGAATAGAGATTGATAGGATTGGAATCAACTGGTATAAATACAGATGTAACAAGACAACAGGACACAGAACCTAGAGACAGAACCTAGCGAGAGAACAGAACCTGGCTACAGAACTTGGCTGGAGAACATAGAACCTGGCTCAAGAACCTGGCTACAGAACCTGGCTGGAGAACCTAGCGAGAGAACACAAACACAGAACCTGGCTGGAGATCCTGGCTAGACCCTGACAAGAGGAACCTCGCTATGCTGATCAACTGAACGCTGTCTCCGTGTCATTCCTTCTTCGCCGACTCCGCCCACACCTTTGGGAACCCATGGACCTGTTAGGGTTGGACCCCAACACCTGGTCTCTCTACTTCCGCCCTGACAATCCATTCTCAGCACCGCAGCCTGAGGGGTCCTGATAAGGTTGAACATGTAATTTACAAGCTTAATACCCTCCAGTGGCTCCTGTTTCACTCCTCCTCCAGCTCTCCTCTCACTTATCGGCTTCAGCCCCACTGGCCACCTCACAGCTCCTTGCGTTTGCAATGACCCCAACATCTGCGTGGCCAATTCCCTCATCTGCTTAAGATTTTTGCGCAAAGGTCATGTCTTCAATGAGGGCTCTTCTGACCACCCATGACCGTTTTTCCCCAACCCCCCTCACCCTGTTCTGTTTTCCTTTGCACATGCCATCTTCTAAACTGTTGTATAACTTACTTATTAATGCATCTCTGTCTCCCCTCTTAGAAAACAGGCCTCGAGGCTGTAGTAATCTTTGTTTCTTTTGTTCACTGCTGTATCCTTGGCACCTAGAATAGTTCCTGGCACATAGTAGGCCCTCAATAAATATTTGATAAATGAATGACTTGATGATATATGCTACTCTGGGGGAGATATCCTAACCAGTTCAGCCCCAAACCAGAGTTTCCACCCCAGGTATAGGCTCTCAAGGCCTATGTCTTCACTAGGTTTAGCTTCACCTTGAGAACATTCCCCAGTGATGGGGCAACAGTTACTGGTCAGCCACCATGAAGGAGCCACACCTCTCATTCAGGGGTCCCTTAATCTTTAAAAAAATATTCATTTATTAAAAAGTCTTCAATTATAGCTTACATTTAAAACAACAACACTGTTCTCTTTATTATAAGCAGTCTTATAATCATCATTAGTTAGTACATGCTTTTTTAAAAAAATATATTTTATTGATTTTTCACAGAGAGGAAGGGAGAGAGATAGAGTTAGAAACATCGATGAGAGAGAAACATCGGTCAGCCACCTCCTGCATATCCCCCACCGGGGATGTGCCCGCAACCTAGGTACATGCCCTTGACCGGAATCGAACTCGGGACCTCTCAGTCCGAAGGCCGATGCTCTATCTACTGAACCAAACCAGTTTCGGCAGTACATGCTTTTTTAAAAAATCCTCACCCGAGGATATTTTTCCACTGATTTTTAGGGAGAATGGAAGAGAGAGGGAAAGACAAAGAGAAACATCGATGTGAGAGAGACACATCGACTGGTTGCCTCCTGCACGAGCCCTGAACAGGGCCCCGACCAGGGAGGAGCCTGCAAAGGTATGTGCCCTTGATAGGAATCAAATCTGGGACCCTTTGGTCTGCAGGCTGACGCTCTATCCACTGAGCCAAACTGGCTAGGGCCAACTATAGTTTACCTTCAACGCTATTTTGTATTAGTTTCAGGTGAACAGCATATGGTTCCAGTTGTTCTCAACCTTCTGGCCCTTTAAATACAGTTCCTCATGTTGTGACCCAACCATAAAATTATTTTCGTTGCTACTTCATAACTGTAATGTTGCTACTGTTATGAATCGTAATGTAAATATCTGATATGCAGGATGGTCTTAGGTGACTGCCGGAA